TTTTTTTTTTTTTTTTATAAATGATTTTCAACTTTGATAACATCTTGATCAATGAAATGATATTGATACATTTTTGTTGCTACTCTGTAACATGCAAAACTTTATTGTATTTTATTATTGGATTAATAAACAATGAAAAAGTTACGACACTCGTTGACAATACATAACAATATTTTTTGTCTTATGTCTTCCTAATGAATGCTTTGCATTTTTTAATCACTTTGCACCTATGGGTGGTAATGAGTTTTTTGGCTCTTTAAACTAAACAAATCAGTTTTCCATCTGCGAGTAAATGGCTAAGAACTCACCAATATTAATGTGCTTAAAATAATCAAATTCATTTTAAAAAATATGAATTTTTACGAAAATTTAAATTAATTTTTTTATAATTTATTTGATTGACAGATATAATTTTTTTGACCAGCCCTAAATTTTGGGAAACAGCTATACCTTGAGAGTAAATTTCCACTTAAATATTGAGTGGCATTATGTTTATTCGAATTAATTTTAAAAAGTAATCTCGTAATTATGCGTTTCACCTACCCCCCTAGAAGTCCTTTATCCTATACAAAAAAAAAAAAAAAAAAAAAAAAAAAACCTGATACTTACCATGAAGCACTTTTGAGAAATAAAAAACAAAAAATCAAACAATCAAGACGAAACGAAACCCAACTCTAAATATAACTAACTGCGATTGGGGATGCATGAGAAAAGCAAGAGCGCATTCATGACGACGACCCACGCCTAAAAAAATTTTTCCCATCGTCTTGTTGGGCACTTCTCGTTTTCTGCTGGCCCCTTTTTAGCGTGACATCTCACGTGTGTGCAAACACCCATGTATATACACACGCACAGCACAGAGCAGGTCTCGGTCATTCGCCTCACGGCTATGATTTCATGCATTTCTCTCTTTCTCCGCGGTGCGTGTATTATACGTCCTGCCGTTGCTAAAGGTGAATTTGCGATGACACTTCTTGCACGAGTGAAGATGGGTTTTAATTTACTTTTTTTTACAGGTGAACAAAAATGCGGTGGAAATACGCTTGTTTTCTTTAAATAAGAATGTTGACACATTATGTGATTGTAAAATAATCTATACCTACATCGATCTTCTCAATCATCGAATGTGCTTTTATATAAACAAATTTGAGACCCACTCACCTCATCACTTTTTTTTACTAAAATAACTAAAACATATTTATAAGTGACCAAAAAAGTGCCTTAATATTAAAACTAAATACAAATTTATATAAATGTAAAAGCATACCACGTTCCTCTTTGAATACTACAAATCAAACCCCTGAAATCTAAATTTTCTTTGTGAGAGCGATTTAAAAAATCATAAAAATTACTAGTTAGTTATTGAATTCTAGTACTACAACCCTTCATTCAGGGCCACATTTGCACCTGCACAAGTACGTGAATTCAGGAACAAAAATTTCATAAACACGAAAGCCCGAGTACAAAATAAAAAACATTATCGATGAATCGTAATAAACTAATTATGAAAAAATGTATCTCTATTCCTGATTCGCAAATGACGAATTACATCCGCTCTCGGGTAATACCTCGTTAAATAACAAACCTCAAACTCGTTTTGTTTATTTTTTTGTCAAAGCCTATGCTCCGTTTGCTCGGTAGAAATTAGTTTTGCTTCTTCTTGCTGCACAAGTAGAAATCAGATACGGTTAATCCGACGTTTCTCGCGTGAGAGTAAATTCGTTTCGTACGATTGATAAAAAAAAAAAAAAAATAAAAAAAAAATGAATCATTGTTATCGTCGAGGTGAAGAAGAAGACGAAGAAGAAGAGGAGGAGGAAAAGGTGGTGGAGGAGAAGGAGCAAGAAAAGAGGAGAGGCTCCGGTGGGTCGACGAACCAGCCAATCGCGAACCTGGTCCCTGCACCAGAATTCTAATGAGGCCCATCGGGGTATATAGGCGCGCTACACCAGCCTTGCCGCTACAATTTTTCCGCCCACCTTAGCCGCGAGAAGGTGAGTTCTCTTTTTCTTGGATTCATTTAGAATACCTTTGAGTGTATGTGTAAGTGTCTTTTTTTTATTTATTTTTTTTTTTTTTCATTAGTTATCGATAAATTTTGTATACTGTCAACGAACGAAACAAAATACATTGATTGATTGGCAGGCGTGGCTTTTTCATCACTTTCTTTATCGATGACGTTATACGTAAAAATTATAGTTAATTATACTTAGTGGTAACAAAATAAAACTTTGACAGAAATCAGAATACGAAACGTGAATTTTTATGCTTTGACAGTAGAATTTGTATACAATTTTATTGACTTGTGTGATTGAATCTATTGTTTAATTGTAAGTAATAGCCGGGAAAATTACATTATACCATTTTAAAAATAATCATATTTGTATTTCATAGTTGTAAGAAAGATTTATCATACTTTTATGGCACCCATAGAGTTGCAATAATAGTGCTAATTTAAAAATTAGAATAAAATACTAACATATAATTTGTACTCATTAAAAAAAAAATTTATTAAATTATTAAATTAATCCGATTAGACGAATTAACATTTAGTGATTTTATAACAATTTCTCCTTTTTTTTGACGTTTTAATAAACTTTTATAAACTAATTGCTTACGGAAACATCTAAGAGATTAAAAATTCTCCAAGTTGTTTGCAAAATGAGATTATAATTCCATGAATGCGCTTAATGAGGCGCACAGTTATACTTAGAGTCTTGTAATAAAACGAGAAAGTTCTACTTCCTGTACCTAATGATGCTACAATTTCTATTATTTTTCCCAAGACGGTATCTCTAATTGTCAAGCTAAAATATACAATGTAATCGTAAATCTTGTAAACATTGTTACTTAAATAAATAAAGTTCCATTATTTGTAAAATAACACTTTCGCTTGTGAATTGAAGCATCGGGATATTTTTCTAAATCAATAAATCACGTATTTGCAACATCTTGGCATTAGCCAATATTATTAAGTACGACTCGATAAAAGCAAATTAAAATTTAAAAAAAAGTGAGAAAAATTAAAAATACATATAACAAGTAATGTCCGTGGGAATAAGGAGTAAAAAAAAAAATGATAACAACCAATCGTTCCTGATGCACACCAGTGTCTCTATCTTTTGTTATCCCTCTACTGCACTTCCTCTTAATACAGAGTACGCCCGGCCTTTTAGGAAATTTCGCATTCGAAGTGCATCTAGCGAAGGCTATTTCCCTCCTCAGAGTCACCTCGTACGCTCATTGCGCATATCAATCGTTCGAGCGACACTGTAAACTTGAAGATTTTTTTTTTTCCTCACGCGCGTATGATCGTAAAAAGGTTTTATGATTTTGTTTGTTTGCCCCCACGTATATACTTATGTGGTTGGTGAAAGAACCAACGTAACATTTTTCGGCACCAAAATCGTCGTCTCGTACTGTTTCTTCACCGACGAATGAATTATGCATGAGTATAACATTACGCATATACGATCTAATTGAGCGACACAAAACAATTCATCTCTCGCCTTTACGATAAGATTACATATCGTACCATCAAGATATTTAGACACAAGCAACTATGAAAAAAATAAAATAAAAAATATTTAGGTATACCTAAGGTATAGCTCAAAAGCAATTCATCACATTAGGTGACTGCGCAATGTATCCCGTCTATATGTTATTTATCGCCTTGACATTTTCGGTTCATTAACGGTACCCTCATTTGATACGTCGTAATCGCAAAGGAGCAAACAAAGTAAAGATTCGTAAAGTCATAAACACGATTGGTGCAATTTAACCCTTACTCGCTTCGAAATATTTGTACGAAAATCAAGTAATTTCGCACAATCAAGGGGCCATTGTTGTGTAGAGCAATAAAAATTGTGGAAAACGAAGAGTCATCGATGCGCCTTAGTTACAAGGAAGTCGGGCTCAATCGATCATAACGGAACTGGTGGTGAAAAAATAATAGAATCCCTTATCTAATCGGCAGCCAACAAAACAAAGTAGTATAAAGTCACAATCAGTTCACCCCTTCTTTCCTCGAATCACCGTAATCGTCGAAATAACTGCCGATAGAGTTTGTGCAATTGTCTGCAATCGAGAAGAAAACAAAAAATACCAGACGTAACCCGGCGTTAAAGTCCTTGCGAAACGTGTGCCACCGCTGTAATTTTGCCTATCGCGGATTCACAAAGATGATCACGCGCCACGGGTGGGTGGCGTTGTATACGCTTAAAACGTTTCAGCGAGAAAAATCGTTGCTTATTGCGTTTGCGCGGCGTGGCCTGCGAAATTGTATTATTAATTCATAAGGAAATTTTTAACGAGTATTTCCGGTCGATGACTCCGACAAGCTATACTTCGTAATTAGCGAGCGTCTAGGTGGGGCGTATAGCATCCCGAGTCAACAACCCGATCGAGTAAACAAATGGCCCATTTGACTTTTTCTTCGCCACCTCGTCCGACTCAAAAGTTAACTCTACATTTTGAATCGGAAAAATAAAAAATAATAATAGTAAACGCCGATCAATCAATCCAAATTCCGAGCCGTCACGCAGATTCAACGCGACAGGTAAAAACTAGTACAACTGGTCCCCCGGCCCTAATTTATTTACGATGGAGTAATCCAGAAAAATCCACACCACGTGCAAACGATCGTCTTCGTTAGAGCGCAGATCAAGCGTGTATAGGCGTGGGCTCCGATTTCGTGTCGTTTACAAGCCATAAATCGGTAACGGCACCCGCGTCCACGTAATCGATTTTCGCGCTGGGCATCGGGGAAAGGAGGAGTTGTAAATCGCGTGTATCTCCGGTAACCGGACGCTTCGGCTAATTTACGGGGCCATACAGATGCGAGGACGGACTACACTCGCGCGTGTAACGGCAGTCGCGCTCATCAACGAGCCCCACCGGGGAAACCGGTTGTGCGCGACGTCGGTCGTACGTTTGTACGAAATCGAGCTTCCCTCCTGTTCCTCCTTCTTCTTCCTCTAACCGTAGCGTGGTCTTAATCGTCCTCGTTGTTTCGCGCGAGAGAGTCTAGTTGAACTTCCTCGCGAAAGGTACGCGCACTTGTACACTTACGCCTTGGGAGGATTTTATCGTATCGCCGGTGCTCAGGTTTGTTGTTGTTATCAGATTTTAATAATTAGTCCTTTTCGAAAGACGATTTTTTAGTGATCGGTTATCGAGCTTGACGATATACGCCTTTTATTTTCCAATCGATGAATCACTCAGTCACTGTGTCATATTTCATACACAGTGACCTTTTTCATTATTTTTCAGTTAACTTTTTCCACACGTAACATAACTTCCATTGTGATATTAAAGAAGAAAAAAAAAATGTTTTTTCTGAATCTTCGTGTGCATTCATTAGGCCAATCGATCGGTAAGATTTATGGCAACTTACGTCATCGGATTAGCCCTCATACACCCACCTGTGATTTATCTTTGCTTCCATCGATAACGACAATCGTGAACTTGCTCTGCAGCAGTTTTCAACGGAGATGTCAAGTTCGCCCTTATAATTTAAAAAAGTGTCGAGTTAGCTTCCGCACTATTTCGTTGCATTTCGCGTTAAATATAGCCATTCCTTTGTTGTCAGAGAAAATAAGAAAACCCCCTACCATTGCTCCCAGAAGTATGATATTTCGTAAAGAGACAGCAATTAAAATTGACAAAACAAAATAAATATAGTTGTACCATCGTTTTAATTACAAGTTGTATAATATTCTGTTCTTTTTTTAATATTTTAGAAACCCGGACAAGAAATGGCGTCTCAAGTGGGGAAGCTTTTGCTTTCCCTTGGTGCCCTGCTAGCTTTATCCGTCTCCTCCTCAGCAGGTAAGTGCAAAAATATGTATTTTGGGGGCATATAGTACACACATCATTTGCCACGAATACTCCATCAATCTATAATTCTTTACCTAAAATATGTAGAGCCACTATACAAAGAAACACCACCTTGTCCCAGCGCGCGCCAATATAGTATCCTTTTCCACAATGTAAAAACAAGTAATCTCCCTCGTAAACCCCAGGCGATCAAATGGGCAGAGTCGCCTGTTACTTCACTAACTGGGCCATCTACCGGCCGGGCATCGGTCGCTACGGCATCGACGACATGCCCGCCGATCTCTGCACCCACGTCATCTACTCGTTCATCGGCGTGAGCAACATGACCTGGGGAGCCCTCGTACTCGACCCCGAAATCGACGAAGTCCAAAGTGGCTTCAAAAACTTTACGGCTCTCAAGAAAAAGCACCCCCATTTGAAGACCCAAGTGGCCGTGGGCGGCTGGGGCGAGGGAGGGCGCAAGTACAGCGCTCTCGTGCACGACAAGCGGCGCAGGGACTCCTTCATCAAGGATGTCGTCAGTGAGTAGTTACTTTTGCAGATTTTTCTTTTTCTTTTTACTGTCGTTTATTTTGCCGTTAAATAAAAAAAAGAAATTAAATTAACCAATTTGATGTTTAAGGGTTCATGAATCAGTATGGATTCGATGGGTTCGATCTCGATTGGGAGTACCCGGGAGCTTCGGACCGAGGGGGCAGTTACTCGGACAAGGACATGTTCTTCTACTTTGTCGAGGAGCTGAGAAGGGCTTTCGACAAAGCCGGCAAGGGCTGGGAGATCACCATGGCCGTGCCGCTTGCCAAGTTTAGGCTTCAAGAGGGGTATCACGTGCCGGAACTCTGCGAGTGAGTCTTTTTTTTTTTTATGTAAGTAAGTGTATGGGTTCGTTTTTTTTTTTTTTTTTTTTTTTTTTTTTTTTTTTTTTTTTTTTTTTTTTTTTTTTTT